TTGGGATCACTTCTCTGATCTTCGCGACGAACCTGCAGGACGGGCCGTCATATCCATGACGGACCGTCACAAGCTTCGTAATCCCACACTTGGTCAGACTTCCCCATCTTCCTTCAGCAGCTTCTCTACGCTGCCACCTACGGACCGTCACAAGCACGACGGACCGTCATAAGCTCCGTTGGTGGTCTCTTCTTCATTTTTCGCTCAAAATCTCCGCATTCAGCTTTAGACAGATTTCCTGCAAAACAAAGAAAAACTTATATCAAAATTAGCACAAAAAAGCTTTCGGACACAATAAACTTAAGGAAAAGGTATTAATTATACCGTGAAACCACGATATATCAAGCAGCACGGAACTTATTTCAATCAAATGGCATAGTATTAGGGTAGGAGGCTTTCCTTTGTTATAGAAATCCACAGACAAGATCATTTTGGTCCTTAGCCCTTAAAATAAATTGAAAACATAAAAAATGTTAAATGTCCCACAGTTAGTTAGTGGCCCCTTCTTCCTCCATCTCTCTTGCACACTAATTTCTACCTCTCTTTTTTTTTCCATTTCTCATACAATTTTTGCTGCCAAAATTTTCTATGCACACAAAAGCATCTTCAAATATCAAAGAATATTTGTAATTTTTGTTTTCTACCTCTGTCTGTTCAATATTTATCCTTTAATTTTAAAAATAGAATTAAAAAATGGGTTGGAAAAATAATAGTTTTGAAAAGGTTTGTATGAAACAAAAGTTATATTCTCTCCGTAAATGCTTACTTGGTTTACATTTATTTTAACGATTTTGATTTTCTTATTCTTCGTTATGTATGATAATGGAAGCGTTTAAAAATTTTGTTTAGATGGAAATGAGAAATGAAAGCAGTATGTATATATTTTTTTACGAGAATAAAGAGCATGATCTCAAATGGCAAAAGAAAGAAGTTGAGGAGAAGGGTCTATGGTGGTGATGGTGAAAGAAAGCAAATCTGTTAAATCTAACAAGTTTTTTAAAGTTCTTTTTTTTTTTTGGTTAGTTCTTTCATATATTTAAGGACCATTTAGATCATGTAGAATATATTAAGAATCAATATAAAGTAACCCTCACACGTGAAAGATCATTTTGATCATTTTCTCTAGTATTTCACTTATTTAAAAAGGGATTTTTAAAAAAAAAGTCATTTAGTTTGAAAACAAAAAGGGAACTTTGAATAACAAACAATTTGAAAAAGTTTATAATAATTAAAGGAGGCATAAAATAGGAGATTATAACGAAACAGAACATTTGTTTTCATTTTTTTTTTATCTCAAAACATTTATTTCAAAAAGATTTATTTTTAAAATGATTTCAAGAGTTCTCTCTTTCCTTAATAATTTCCCTCATCTAATTCGTTCAAACGGTATTCTTGGTTGTCACACTTGTCTCAATTTTTTTTTAATAATCGTTATTTTCTTGTAATGAGTGATTGTAATGAGAGATCTTGTAATCAGTATTAATAAATCATGGTGATAGATGGGATCCTTTAGGTTAATATTTTTTTCCAAAATTATTCTGTAATAAGTTGTAGCTCTTGCTACAGAATTCACTTAAAATCCCTAGTCTTCCAAAAAAAATCGTTGTTTTTTTAAATATATGCCGCTGATAATTTTTGGTCTGAAACATATTTTATTTTTTGATATGTTTCTAGTTTTAAAAAGTTATATAAAATTTGATTGAAATTGATATAGTAGATATGTTAGACATGTATAAAATTTGATACTATTTTTGATACGTTTTGTGTTTTTGAAGGGTGAATTGGTCATTAAACACTATCTCATAGATGGCTTAAGATGGACACCTATTATTCTACGTGTACTCGGTATATTTCTCCATCTTCAGAAATCGCACAAGGAGTAATTTCAAATAATGTTTTTACATTGTTTATGTCTTTACATAGTTATCACATTTGTTCAATTTTTTTCAGTGCGACTTCTTTTCATTACATCGACATGGGTTGCTTAGAGAGAAAAAAAATCTTGTTCTGCTTTGCCCATAAAAATAGAATTAATTTTATCTGCACCATCTCCATCTTGTTCCTATTTTATAGTATTATTTAACTGGTCTTGGTGGGAGTAAAATTTTAGAATTATGATATTCGGATTTAGATTTGATATGAGACATTACTATTATTTGGTAGTTGGTATTTCCCGAATCATATATCAACATTTCCATTACTTATTAGTACAAAGTCCCGTGAAGAAAGTTAAGGAATGAACATAAACAATTCAAATACATGTCTTTTCGTTGTGTCAAATTGTTTTCTTCTTACTTATGACTTCTGCGCATCCACATAATAGAAATGATTGAAAAATAGTAGTAATTTTTAATATAATCGGCTAAAATTTCAATAGGATATTACTGAATACCATATCAAATCAAAATTTAATTTATTGATTACCGAATAAAAATTTAAAATTTTAATATTTGATATCTAATTTTTACTACCAATTATTCAATTATTGCATCCAAAATTCGATAATCCCAAATCAAGTACAGAACGCCCACCCCTAGGCCGCTTAGCACTTCTCAGTTTTGAATATTGGATAATTTCGTATGAATTTAATATTTTTAGCATTTTGATATCAATCGATAAAAGTTCAATGAGATGAGTTGCAATTTTCTCTTCTTTTTTGAAACATTGATCTAAGTTCATTGTAATAATATCTTAATGTGTGTCTTAATTATATATTCTTATGCATATTTAAGTCTTGTATATTAATAATCAAGTCTACTTTAACCTCTAGCATTGGCAATGATTAGTCGATCATTAGAAAATCTCAAAACAATTTATTGATATATAGTACTAGTTAGGGATAATGTCCAAGTACCCCCTCAATCTATGTCCGAAATCTCAGAGACACACTTATATTATACTAAGGTCCTATTACTCCCCTGAACTTATTTTATTAATAATTTTTTACCCCTTTTCGACCTACGTGGCACTATCTTGTGGATCCAACGATGATTGACTTTTTTTTCCAAACCAGTGCCACATAGGCTAAAAAGGGGTAGAAAATTACAATAAAATAAGTTCAAGGGGGTAATAGGACTTTAGTATAGTATAAGTGTGTCTCTGGAATTTCGGACATAGATTGAGGGGGTACTTGTGCATTATCCCTACTAGTTATAAAGAGATTTATCATAAATCGAATATTTTTTAAAAAAAAATACACGGTAAAGTGAACTATCATAATGAAATTACTTGTAAGTTGTCGACTTAAACTATTTGAAAATTGTTTGGATGATTGTAAGCTTACCTAAAAGATTATGTATTTAAATAGATATTCATAATACGATGTATTTATAGTATTCTCATTAAATATTGTTCTTGTTAAAATATTACTTGGAAAGTAATTTGAGTGATGGGAAAAAAAAATACACATATCTAGTAATATGCAAAATAAATTTTCTCGTAAAAAACCTTTACAGAGATAAAATGTACATAATTTGTATTGACAATGATTTTATGGGTTTAAAACTAGAGAGAACACGATGTCGGATACACTTATACATTCAGTTGGATTCTGAATTTCATGTCCTATGTCTCGGGTCGGGGCCAAAGGTTAGGAGTACTATCCAAGGGCTCGAGCCTCGATGGATAGTAAGGGGAGGGTGGATCATTCAAAAAAAAAGTTGGGTCAAGTTAGATAAGTTATTGCATATTCAATTTAATTCAAGTAACTTTTGATTTTAATTCAATTTATTTTTATTAATTTAGTTTATTTGAACTTGTCCAATTCCAATCTAATCCGTCCATTTGAAACCTATCTACCTGTTTTGTAAATTGCTAGCTTGACTGCTTGATTAGGCTGCACACTTGAGTTACTTTTAAGTTGTTTATTTTTGATATTTGATTACAAGCTTATCTAATACAATATATATATTAAATTAAATGAATAACCACAC